CCTGGGAGGTGATTTCTCGCTTTCTGTCTGTCTCTGTCTGGCGAGCGCACGCGCCCTACAGCGAAAACCTCTCCAAAAAAAAAAAAAACCAAAAAAAACAAAAAACAAAAAACAAAAAAACAAAAAACCTGTTTATCAGGCCAGCAGGTAGAGAGTGGTGGTTAAGGCACTGGAGTCCACATGGCCAACTCCTTGGTTTGAGCCCTACACTCAGCGGTTTGAGAATCATGCTGGTTGTACGTGTGCACATCCCCCAAATCCTAAGAGATGCGACTGTGGCATAGCCACCCTTCCAGGGGCTGACTTCTCACTTTCTCCCCCTTTCTCTCTCTTTCTGTCTCTCTCCAGCAAGCACATGTGCCCTATGTCAAAAATCTTAAAAAAAAAAAAAAAAAAGTGTCTGTGTTTTCATCAATCCTTATAGGCAAAACAAATCCCTCAGGTCAAAAGAAGAGACTGTGGGTGGCTAGGGTAGAAAGGGGAGGCAAGATCCTCCTAGCCCCAGCCCATCAGCCAGAAGACAGACTAGAAAGACAAGGGAATGAATGAATAAAGTAAGAGGAAAAGGAAGGAAAGGAAAAGAAGAGAAGAGGAGAGGAGAGGGGAGGGAAGGGGAGAGGAGGGGAGGGGAGAGGAGGGGAGGGGAGAGGAGGGGAGGAGAGAGGAGAGGAGAGAGGAGAGGAGAGGAGAGGAAAAAGGAGAGGAGAGAAGAGAGGAGAAGAGAAGAAAGGGTATTCACTTTGAGGAGCTATGAAGGGTAACTCTCAATCTGCCAGAAAAGCTAAGTGTTGTTTACATGGAGTCTTGGCCCTGGAAGGCAATAGCCGGGGGTCTCTTCAGACCTTCCTGGCTCAGGGCTCGAGCCCTGGAGGAAGGCTTGAGCAGAAGTCTGCTGGGCACGATTACAGGCTTCTATGCCAGTGTTGGCCACCCACACTGTGGCCTGCCTGGGCCTACTCACCACACCACGGTCCCCCAGGTCCAAGGCATCCCAGGTGAAGCCCTGGGGCAGGGTATAGGGCTCCTGGCGGATATTGTCTTTGTCAGGCTCCACAGGACCATGGGTGTTCACCACCTCACCTGGAAGAAGAGCACATGAGCATCACCTCTGCCTCCTACGGGAGGGAAGGTGCTCTGCTCAAAAACTGACCAGAGCAAATTCCTCTGTCCCTAGGAGCCCTCCGTCGGAAGAACATTCTGTGCTTGGCTCCTGCAAAGCATCTTCTGGCTACCCTTGGCCCCTAGTTTTAGGTCAATTCATGGCAAAACCTCAGAACAATCACCAGGATCCAAGGTGGTTCATTTTTTGGAAATCCTTTTAAATCTCCCTTGAGTTACTGAATGACAAACATTTATCTTTACTCATTTGGCTTCCTGCCTCCTGGTTGGTGTAAAGAGTGCTGTCACAGCCTTGGCCCAGACCCACGGACCTGGATGGATTTAGAAGGAGCGGCAACAAGGCTGCTTTTGTGTCAACAGCAACAACAATGTACTGGGCCCATTCCTGAACCAGATGAGGGCTTCCCGGCGCCAGGCTCAATCTTGGCCCAGCCAGTCTTGGCTTTCAGCAATGTGGCCAGCTGACTGCTACTGCCAAATCAGGCCCTCGGTGCTGAGAGTCCGACAAGTGCCTTTAGCCTGAATCACTGGGTTTATACGGTCCTGCTGGGAAATTCCCTCTGACACAATGTCCCCACCCTGGACAGCATGCCCCTCCTCTGTGGGAAGGGCTTGACAAGCTCAGAAAAAACAGCCCCAATTCCTACCCAGAGCTAGATCAGACACATCTAATACTTGGACAAATAAAGTATTTAATTTTGGTCCTAAGGATCAGCTCATAATTCAGAGCTCATTCATGTTCACACTAAGTGCATTCTGAAAACTGACCTTCAAAATGCACCCACCCATATAGTGTTCCTAGCACAGGACTCTGTATACACTGGACACTCAATTCAGCTTTTACTGACTGTCGAACCCCTGTCCAAACATTTGAGTGTATAGAAGGCCATTCTGGACCCTTCCCAAACTGAACTGTGGAGCAAGTGTAGCAGAAATGGCTGTCAGACTACAGCTGAAGACCACATTGCCAGGACTGACCGCCTCCCTCTCCCACTGCCCACCAACCATGCCAGACTCCATGTAGGCACTAGGACACAGCAGGGAAAAAAGACCAGGTTCTTGTCCTTACACATCTTCTAGGGAAACAGTCAATAAGAGTCATTACCGGGACCAGCAGTTAGCGTAATGGCTATGTCGCTGGACTCCCATGTAGTCGACCGCGGTTCGAGTCCCAGACCCGGTGGCTTAAACTCACGCCGGGCGCGTGTGCGTGCGTGCCCAAGATCCCGAGAGGAGAATGGAGGAGAAGGGATTGCGGCGTAGCCATCCTCCCTGGGGGGTGATTTCCTGCTTTCTATCTGTCTGTCTCTCTCTGTCTGTCTGGCGAGCGCACGCACCCTATAGCAAAAACCTCTCCAAAAAAAAAAAAATAAGAGTCATTACCAACAGGTAAGGATCAAAGAATGGAAAGTCCGGGTGACAACGGTGACATACAGCAGGGAAGCATCTAGCTACCTTTACTTACAACCTGGCTCTCCAATGTTTGCTTGGGTGAGAGGCTGTATTGTTCTTTCTTACTTACGAAACTAAACTTTTGACTTATTAAAAAAAATAGCCTTTGTTTAATGTAAGTCAGTCTTCCAATTCACGGGTATGTTAGGTTTTTAAAAATTTTTGAGCCTACAAAGCTAAGAGGCCAGTCTTAGAAAGCACCCGTGACTCCCACTCTTGTCTTGTCTAGGTGTTTGTCAGTTTCTCTTTGTGTAATGAATTTATATCTTTTCCTAAATATACTTCAGAACTTTTTAACCATGTTCTTCCTACGTGACTTCCACAGCCAAGGATACTGATGGTATTCCCTATGTATTACAATAATCATTACAATAATCCAAAAGCTAAATCTTCTCATTTAGGCTGGTTATCAAGTCATGCAAGCAACAGGCATTTCCACCGGCTTGCTCTTTCACCAAATGTGCACTGAATCCTAGCACATGCCAGTTCTGTGGCAGGAGTGGGCAAGTGAACATAGGTCCTCACCATCATGGACATCAAGCAGACTCCTACACCCAGCAGCACAAGGGCCTACAAGAATGAAGTACGGGCTGCAACAAACCTGCGGTGTGTTGGGAAAGACCCTCTGAGGAAGTATCAAAAGGCAAGACCCCAGAATAATTAGGAACCAGCCAGGCTGGAGGGGAGAGCATGAGCCAGAGGGTGTGTGCCCAGAAGCAACAATGCACAGAAAGGCCTGCCGCCAAGACCAGTCACCAAGGACCTCACAGGCAGTACTCCAAAAACCAGACTTTATCCTCAGGGCTGCAGATATCCTTAGCATTTTCTTTTCCCCATTGATTAAAATACAATTGCACTTTGGGGGAGCTTTGTAAAAAAGCTTATTTGTTTATTTCTTTCATGAGCAAAAGAGACAGAGAGGCAGCCACCCGACAACAGGTTCTTGACACCATAATCCACCCCCAGCCTCAGCCAGCCCTAGATGGCAGGCATGTGTGTGCTCAGTGTATTTAGGGAGGTCTCTGGACGCAGTCTAGAACCTCCCCATGTGGGTCAGCCTTGCAGAGTGAAGAGAGTTGTGTTTTATGCTGTGTCACTGCCCAAGTCCCTTAATGGTTTAAGGAATAGGCAGAGGCTGTCCCATCTTTCTTTCTTTTTTTTTTTTTTAAGAATCATTTTATTTAACTTTATTTATTTATTTTAATTTGACCAGAGAGGGACAGAATGAGAAAGAGAGAAAGTGAGAAAACACTGGGACTCAAACTGTGGTCAGGGAGTCCAGCACTCTTCACAACCATGCCACCTGCCACCCGACGTGCCATCTTTAGATGTACATTTTATAGAGGAATATGGCCATGATGCAATCCCCTTTCCATTTTCCTCCTGGGATGTTTGGAATGCATGTGTACACATCCAGCACGATTCTCAAGCCAGGAGGTCCAAGCCCGAACCATAGTTGGCCATGTGAGAAGCTAGCACCTTAACTACCACTCCACCTGCAGGCCTAAAAGATTAGTCTTTTCTGTTTTTTTTTTTTTTTTTTTTCATCTTTGCCATAAGGCATGCAGCATGCATACTCTCACTGGAGAGGCAGAGAGAGGGAAAGTGAGAAATCATTCCCCCAGGGAGATGGCGACACCTCGATCCCTTCTCCTCCATTCTCCCCTTGGGATTTTGGGCACAAACATACATGTGCTCAAAGTGATTTTCAAGTCGCTAGGTACAGGATGCAAAATAGTGGTCAGCCATGTGAGAGTCCAGCACCTTTTTTTAAAAAAATTATTTTATTTTTATTCATTGTCATTTTTTTTTTTTTTTGGAGAGGTTTTTCGCTATAGGGGGCGTGCGCTCACCAGACAGAGAGAGACATAGAGACAGAAAGCGAGAAATCACCCCCCGGGGGGATGGTCACGCTGCAATCCCTTCTCCTCCGTTCTTCTCTCGGTATCCTGGGCACACACGCACATGCGCCCGGCGTGAGTTTTAAGCCACTGGGTCCGGGACGCGAACCACAGTCGACTACGTGGGAATCCAGCGACATAGCCATTACACTAACTGCTGGTTCCTATTATTTTTAAAAATTATTTTGAAGTTGACCAAAGAGAGAGAGAAAAAGAGAAGGAACATGAGAAAGCAAGCTGCCAGATCCAGGACTCAAACCACAGTCAGCCATGTGGGAGTCCAGCCACCTTTACTACACTGCCTGCCAGCCCCGCTGGTTAGCCTTTATTTAAAAATTATTTAATTCCACTTGCCATTATTATTTTTTAATTTGACCAAAGAGAGACGGAGTGAGAGGGGGAGAAAGCAAGCCGCCAGGTCCAGGACCCAAACTGCGGTGGGCCATGTGGAAATCCAGAGCCTTTAATTAACTACCACGCCATCTGCTGGCCCCTTAATTTTTTCTTCTTTTTGTTTTCCCCACTGGTTAGTCTTTTCCAAAATTTTGCTATAGGGCATCTGTGCTTACAGGGGTAGGAGTGGGGATAAAGGGGTGGTAAGAAAGTACACCTTCTTCCACCAAGAGGGGAATGGCTATGCTGCAATCCCTACTCCATCCTCCGTTCTCTCAGGATTGTGGGCACACACGCACACACGCCCAGCAAGTTCTCAAGCTGCCATATCCAAGACACTTGAACGACGCAGTCAGTCAAATCAAATCCAGTTGCCTTAACCATGATGCCATGGGTTAGCCCCAGATGTTAAGTCTTAATCTATCTTTTGATAAATCAGCCCTCAGGTTATCCCTATGACAGATATCTGCAGGCACAGCTGACAAAGCAGCTATAAGAAATAACTGAGAAAGCGGCAGCCACTTCCAACAGACTCCCAGTATCTCTCTCTCTCATGGAAGAAATAAGCTTTAAACAAAAAGAAAGAAAAAAGAATGCAGCCAATTATTTCTCGATTACCACGAGACAGAAAATGATTGAGGGAGATACCTGGAACTCGTTTTAAAAGAACCCGAGGGCCGGACGGTGCCGCAGCAGTGAAGTAACACTCTGTCGTGCTGGACCCACGTGGGAAGGTTCAGGATTTGCATCTAGGGGCCTCCAGGTGCATGCTGGGTGCACACATGTCCAGCACCCCAGCTGAGGCTAGGGGTGAACTGCAGTGTGAGGACCCTCTCAGGTCCCGCCTAGCTCTCTTTCTCATGGAAAAAAGAAATAAACTTTAAATAGATAGTTTGGAACTTGAAAAGAATACCATGAACTGAATTTCTTTCTATGTACTCTTTCACTAACATTCATTCTCTGCCCTCTAACATCAAAGACCCTAACCAAGCGCTGCAGCCCAACTGTGAAAGACTTGGAAGACAAAATAATGTCTGAAATTTGGGAGACATCAGCCAAATGAGCAAGACAAGGGAGAGGAGATAGGTAAGCTCCTCTCTGGAGCCCAATGAAACCGAGAGTGAGTCCACATTCTCCCTTGGATAGTTACGTACTTGTTATTTATTTTCCAGTTTGTTATAGGGCATGTGTACTCACTGTAAGAGATGGAGAGGGGGAGAGAGAGAGAGAGAGAGAGAGAGAGAGAGAGAGAGAAAGAGAAAGCAGTCTCCGGGTGGATGGCCACAGCGCAATCCCATCTTCTCCATCCTCCTCAGGATTTTGAGAACGCACACACACACACCCAGTTTATTTTCCAAGCCACCAGGCCCAGGGCTGGAGCCACACAGTCAGCATGTGGGATTCTGCCACCTTACTCACCGTGACGCTGGCTAGCCCTAATAGTTTCAAACAAAGCTGGAAGTGCCCAGATTCCAACTTGCTGACCCAAGGCAAAAAAGGGATCCTGCTTCCCTCTCTAAGAATGGGAAACAGGTGACTTTATAAAGAAAAGTGATAAGACTGCCCGGTAACACTGTGATTAAGTGCTGTGCCTTGGGAGTTGGATCCCATATGGCCGACCTCAATTCAAATCCCAGCCTCAGTGTCTTGAAAGACATGCCAGGTACATGTGTATACATGATCCAAATCCTGACAGGATAGAGAAATGGAAGAAAAAGGATTGCGGAGTGACATCTCATTGGGAGGTGCTTTCTCTCTGGTGAGGGTATGTATCCTCTGGGTATAAAAAAATAATTAAAAGAGGGGCCAGCAGGTGGTGTGGTGGTTAGGGTGCTAGACTCCAACATGGCCAATCACGGTACAAGTCCCAGACCTGCAGGTTTGTTTTTTTCTCTCTGTCTCTGTGAGTGCACATGTCCTATAGCAAATTAATGATAATAATAAATAATAAATACAATTAAATAAATAATTATTTAAAAAAATAATTGTGGGGCCAGCAGGTGGCATGGTGGTTAAAGGTGCTGGATTCCCACAT